GAATGGGCTCAGGCAGAGCACGAAAATAGATGTACAAAACCTGGTTGTCTTGTAGGTTCAATCTCGGAACCTGCAGCAACCGATCAACTTCCCGTGACAACGATTCCACAGAGGTCCAGTGTCTTTGACCAATCGTGGTGAGTTGGTCAAAGGCCTTATCGGCTGTCGTTTTATCCAAAAACCGTTCCTTGATCTTCCCAAGGAACTGTTTGAGGTTCAAAGTTTCAACCCACTCCCCGATGTCATCGAACCGTGCGGCATTAGCTTCGGCCAAAACCCACTCCTTAGCTTCCCCACCAAGGCAAGAGGTAGAGAATGCAACCTGGGATTCAGGTTCGACAGGGGCCGTGCCACAATACGTCTGAATCTCTGCAATCCACAAAAGCAGATTTTCATCTTTCTTATTACAAAACGTGAAAGACAATTTCATTTTAACTTTTTCTTTTCTCTTTGGTTTCTCCGGAGTCGTGGTAACTTTGTCTTGTGGCTTTGAAGGTGGAGAGGAAGGAGGGGAAGGAGGGGAGCTGGGTGGAGAAGACGGCGGACTCGAAGGCTCCCCTTTCTTTGTTTCTGGTTTCTCTTCCGTCTTCTTTGTTTCTACCTTGAGAGACTTCATGGCATCTCCCATGAGTTTCTCTGTCTTTTCAGTCTTTTCTTCTTTCACTTTTTCCTTTCCCTTGACCAAATTCGTGATTGTCCGAAGCCCTGAGGCCACATCATCAATTTGGGACTGCATCCTTTCGCCAAACTGATCAATTTTCAGTTCTTAATGGGCAAGGTAATTCACAAGTTGAGCCAAGGAAATTTCCTGTTCTTCGCCTTCAATTTTAACAACACTTTGTCTATGACCTCTTGAACTTTTTGCTCTTGCTGTTCAATCTTCTTCTTTCTCAATTCTTTTTTTCTCTTCTTCTCTTTTCCTAGTGCTTCTTCAAGTTGTCTGATATTCTGCTCCACGGTCTCTTCAGACACAGCCCTTTTTTCTTCTTCTTTCTGTTCAGCAAGCTGAGTGAGCCGACCCATGATATACTTATCAAGTGCCGATTAGTATTTCCTGAACTTGAATGACGTCGGTGCCTGTAACGGACGATTCGATAGTATCATGTGATGCTTTCAGATCGTATAGGCTACGGACGTGAGCCTCAGCATCCTCACCGGCATCATGAAGTTCAGATATCAATTTGTCCATACAGGCAATCAAGATTCTTTTCCGCTCCTTCACTTGCTGCTTTGTCCGGGGGTCAGGAGTCTCCTCATCCACATCAAACACGAGTGAGACTGGGTAGAAGAGAAGTGGGATGAATCGGGTAAACACTGAGAGTTCTTGAGAGTTTCAAACGAAAGACATTTTGTTGTACGTCTGCCGCACAATAAATAATCAATTAACGGTAATAAATTTCATGGCCGCACTGGTCTATCACAACAAAATTTCAAATAACCGAAGAAAAAGAATCAGAAACAATTTATTTCTATTTCTAACTATTGTTGTTCTTTGTCTGTGTGATGACGTCCTACTCGAGAGTGTACAGGTACCACTACATGTCCATGTGATCAGACACCACACACAAGTAAATACGCAAACACCACACACAACAACAACAGGTAAGTATGCCAACAACAATCACAACAATCTGTCAGCAAACTTCGTCAATTTGTTGTGCCCACTTGATTGTCTGTGCGATCACGCACTCGTCCGGACGGCTAGCACTACAGCTGTATAATTACTCCAGTCAATTGTACCGCCGTTGTCTTCAGAGTGCCCCTTTTACTTAGCAGTAGTCTTGCCTGCCACGTGTCACCCCTGACATGCCAACACAACAGATCCTGCCGCGTCAGCACTCTAATATCCAATCAGCCAATAGTGGGATGCCACGTCAGCAAATGTGTGTCCTGATCCTCGCCACATGCCTCTTCCACGCGTCTCGTGAGATACTGTCGCCGTTCCATCTAGTCAGATCATGCCACGTCAGCTAGGGGCCTGTTGCCACGTCGACAGATAGCCACCACCTCATAAGACAGGTGTGATGACTCTTCCAGCCACGTCAGCAGTCAGTATTGTCCCGAAAGCCACGCCAGCACCTGCGGTAGACCCTGTCGCGTGTCAGTAGCACAAGAAGTGCCACATCATCAATTAGCAACAAGGTCTTCAGACGTGGCACAACATATGCCACGTCAGCAAGGGATCGCGATGTCACTATCGCGATCCGGGCTGGCATGCGGTATTTCCAATGGCAGTCCCTTCTGCCACGTCAGCAGCCTGGTAGGGACTTTCTCTCGCCAGTGAAGTCTGCACCTCGTCTGCACTCTCGGCAATGTCTTCTCGCCAGTGAAGTGTGTACCACATCAGCAATCCCCAGCAATGTCGTCTTACCAAACAGGTATGTCCCTCGTCAATATTCTCACTATATCCCTTGCCACATCATCACCTACTCAACCTTACTTACCTGAGCGCCACCTGGCGCTTACCGCATTCTAATGTCAATGTCAGGAGAATAGCTCTGATACCGAATTGTAATGAACCCAGATCGTGAGACAGTTGTCAACAATGCAAGTCCAGAAAAATGTCCATCGGCTGATAATTACAATAGTCAAAAATCGTGATCGGACAGAATGAGGTGAGATATCATACACAGACGAAGAGGGAGGAGGGAGAAGAGACAAAGGAGAGGAAAGTAAAAATGCCCACTCCTGCTTCGGGCTCCCTCCTCTACTACCACCTCATCAATCAATAGTCTGAATGAGTATCCGAGTATCCTCAATGTGCC